CCCCTCTCTAATCCCCCCTCCTCCCCCACCCCTTGGCATATACTAAAGTACATTTTAGTGTGTGTGTGTGTGTATGTGTGTGTGTGCATGGGAGGAGTCCTTGTTTATCTCTTAATTGTCAAGTTGTCGGAGTCCATGCATGAAAATTGTGTTTTGCTTAAAAAAATGTGTGTTCTAAACTTGAACTAATTTATTGTGATAAATAAAACTGCAGAATGCATATAAATATAAACTGAAAGTAGTTTGTCTGCTTTGTCATTTTCTCTTTTATGTAAACATCCTTTGACCGAGTTTTATGTGATAGTCAGCTGTACTTGAATGGCTCAGACGCTGATAGGGATGGTTGGAGTGAGCCACTTTCTTTCTTTGCTACTCCTTTGTTTTACCTGTCTGTCCATTTTACTTTTCTTTTCCACTCAGTGACTGTTATTGTGTCAATGTGCTTCTTTTTACCCGAACAAACAAGGAAACTACAGTGGAAACCGTACATAACAGGCCCGGTAATAACAGGGATCCGGTAATAAAAGGGATTTTTTAAAATCCCCGCTTTTTTTAACTCTTTGTCTCTGTTAAAAGTTATCGGCAATAACAGGGCCTCATCGGAGCCCAATCGGTTATAGCTGGGACAAAGGCTCGTTAACAATGTGTAAAGAGAGAGAGAGAGAGAGTAACGCAGTGATGGGGCAAGCCGACGCAAGCTATGCCTCTGCGAGCTACATGCATGCGTAAAACCCCTGTTCGTGGGTACTTGTTGCAAGGGAAAAGTCCATGAAAAAATACAACTGGATTAGTCCACAAACGCTTACTTCCCTAGACCCTTGCATTTCTGATTTAACAGGGATCTGATATGATAGAACTTTTTCTCGGGTCCCACCATCCCTGTTATATCAGGTTTCCACTGTATCTATCATGCTTTTCACTCTAAGTACTCAAAGTGACTGTGTACTTGTGATAATGTGCTTCTCTTTACTCAAACAAACAAATAATGATATCTATTACTCCCAATGTCTGTGGTGTAAAAGTAAAGCTCTTTATTTTGCACAATTTCTGTGTCTGGAGGAAATTTTATGGCGCTTATCTTTTTCCAAGAATGCATTCCACCACAAAGCCTGGAATCGCTCTGACAGGCTGGACAGAAATAATCTGATTATGAATAAACCAAATTGTGTATATATGTGTGTGGTGGGGAGGGCGAATATTGAAACATATGTAGCAATAATGATTAATGTAATTTTAAGGTCAACAAACGGAAGGCACAGAAAAGTAGGCTACTGGTAATGGAGAACCAGCGCATTTTTTCAAACCAAGGGACAGAATCAAAAAGTTATATAGTAAAATATGGTATTAACATGTATTACTTCCCTTGAACCATTCCCGGGGTGGAACTTATTGTGCGAAAAGTCCACAATTTGCGATTAACTTAATAATAACAATAACAATAGATAGCACTTGTATAGCGCAAATCCCCGCTCAACAGCAAGCTCTATGCCCTTCACAATCTCTACTATTAACCCACAGACCTGAGAGCATTCTGAAGCAACCTCAACTCCCTGGGAGGCAGACAATGCAAGCAAGGAGGCGTTAGCTCAGTTGCAATCATGCTGGACTTCGAAATGGATGCCCCTGGTTCAAGTTCCTTATGTGATGATCTTGGTCCTGAATTCTCATGACTTTCCATATACTAGGCTTGATCCTATCGGCTTCCAATGTTGAATCAGAGATCCGTATTGTTTTGAAAAAAAAAAAGGTTGAAAGGGGG